ATATTCTTGCTTTACTAACTTTTCTGTTGCTCAACCTTATGTGTTTATGTGACAGCATTACCTTCCATTTGGCCTTTCATAATATGGCATGTCGACAATCTCGGACTCTCTGTCAAGTCTGTGCTCTTATAGGCAGTATTTTAGTTGGCAAAATACTAGTCCAAATCAAAATAGAAAATACTAATACAAAATTAGTAAATTACTGATAACACCATATTTCATCAATTCATGAGTAAGATACACAAACAGAGGATTCTAATTTTCTATCAACCTCATCAGAGTTCCAATGCTGTCTTCTGCAGCCTCTCTGTCCTAACTCTGTTCTTTAACTAAATGTGAAGAAAAAGTTGATGTTGAAGTTGCATCAAAGGCAAGATGGTCAGAAATTTTACGTGTTATGAACTTTATTCTGCTAAGATTCTCATGGAAGCTGTATTGTTGATATACATAATCTATCGTACAAAAATTTTTGTAATTAAATGCCTGTTTTCCAGGCTCTTGGAGTACCCGTTCATAGGCTTGTACAGGCTGCTGATTCGGTGACAGTAAGCTCAATATTCTTCTTCTTACACATTTAATTTAATTTGCTTCTTCTCAAAGATTTTCCCTTTATGTACTGTTTTCAATATGTGATGTAGGCTTGCCTGTCAAAAGGTCTTGGTGCTCCAGCTGGCACTATGATTGCAGGTTCAGAAAATTTCATTGCCAAGGTATAAATACTGTGTCTAATTTTCCTGTTCTTCTTCCTTGGGACTTTGGGATTCTGTTTGTGTAATAAGTTGATTTATTTATATTTGGTGCTTAATGAAAGGCCAAGATTCTTAGGAAGACATTAGGTGGTGCTATGAGACAGATTGGTGTTTTATGTGCTGCTGCTTTGGTTGCATTGGATGAAAATGTTGACAAGCTAGCAAGTGATCATAAGAAGGCTAAGATTTTGGCTGGTAAACATTTCATTATCATGGTGTTGCATTTTTTTAAATATTATATTATCCATTATGCCTCTATTCACAACACATTTGCCACAATCTTTGTCAGAGGGGCTCAACAATATCAAGGGATTGAAAGTTGATATACCGTCTGTGGAGACCAATATTGTAAGTTAAGTTAACCTTTTTTTTTTTTTTTT